AGGAGCTGTGTCCCACTATCCCCCAGTGCCATCCGATGGGATGTGCTGCCCACGCCTATAGTGCCACTACCGTATGGTGGCACCTCTAAACTTCAGAGAAATCCCAGTACAATTATTTTAAGCTGGTACAATGCAGACAATCCCTTAGTTGTCCTAAATTATTCTAGAAACTAAGCCTCCAGACAATGGGATGCTCAGACACTTTATTAGGTACCTCTCTGTCCTATCAAACAGTAACCACTTCTCTTCGGTTTTCATGCCCTTTGTTTCCTACATCAAGGTTATTTTTCTACTCTCTCTTTTACCTTACTGACCCACAAGCTCAGCATCCATATGACTTGCAAGTCAGTGATACCAGCTGTTAGCAGCAAACCACTTCATTTTTAAGTGTGCACTTCCATACTTTCTCCAATATATACCACACCAGAAGCCACTACATGGTCCACATTGAAATCCCATCCTAAGACTTTTCTACAAGTCTTAGGATGGACAGAAGGACAAAAAAGTCACAGCTAGAATTAAGCTGTTCTCACACACAGGCACTGACTCCCAAACGATCTCTTCTCTGCCTAACACTTCTGCCTATTATCTCCCTTCTGTACTTCCAAGTGCTCACCAAGATCTGTTTGTACAGCACTTTGGTACGCTAGGTCTGCATCCCACACTGAATGTTCCTAGGCACAAGTGTAACATGGATCACAAAGAAATCATTAGCAAATCAAAGCAAAGTAAAAGGGCAGATGTTTTTCACCCACTTTCAGCAGACCTGCGCTTTCCCGACACCTCTCAACTTCTACTTGTACAATTAGCATTCCTTGATTTCACTTTATTGTCATGGGGTATTTCTGTATTGGAAATTGTTTATTAACCTGAAACATTTTTGTACTACGTATTTACATTTAATCATCTACCAAGCCTTATTACCTTGAGTACTAATAATAATCAACACATTACTAACATCACTTTAGTTTCAAGCTGTATGACTAGACATTGCAAATTAATTCTAAGCTAATGAGTTTCGTTAGCTATGCAGATTTTTTTTTTGTTTAAACCATTAAATCAGATTTAATTTGCTAAGACAATATTCATCACAAGTTTATGCAATCTATTCCTGCTTTCCAATAATTAAGGCATGTTAAACTGTGGAGTCTTTATGAAAAAAATTAAAAAGACTGAACTGTAAAACTTTTGCCTTCATTTGCAACTTTTGTATTATGACATCTTTCCTTCCTTGTAGTGAATTTTAAAATATATCTAAATCCATTCTAAGTTTTGATATAACAAATACTGCCTTACAAGAAGGTCACCACGTTGAGATTTTTCTCACTAGAAGAGTGGTAAGACTAAAGCATAACCTTTAAGCATGGTCTCACTTGTGCCTTAGCTCCTAAGTTTTTCTGTTCAAAGTGTGAATCAGACTCAATTAACAGAACAGAAGAGGTTAAGATGCAGAACTCTTATACATTTTGATACTACAGAACATTCAGATACACACACAAGATAGCTTGAGAAATTACTACTACAGACAAATATGCAGAGTGGACTGTTCCTTTACATTTATTTGGGCAAATGTTTCATTTGCATCAGCGGATGTTTTGCCTGAGCACAAATACCACAGTCACTGAGTATGGATTTAAGAAGTGGGCCTACTGGGCAGAAAATTAGAGATTATCTAAACACTGGTTCTTAATCCAAAAAGCAGACTGGGAAGTTGAAAACGTAAAAATTAGGGGAATGAAAAGGCTACTCTGAAGACTTGAATGGACTGCAGCAGACACAGCTACCGGGGTTATTCTTAATGTACCATTTCTGTGCCTGCAGGTTCAGAGCTGAGTATTGAAAATACCAGCTCACCTAGAAATGGCTATTTACCCTTGGAAAAGAAGAATGGACCAGTAATTGGATCATCAACACATGGACACCCAGTGTGCCTTCAGGCATGTGACTCAGCTTCTAGGTGCTCTTCATTTTTGGTAACACTGTCTTACTAAGAGGGATGCTTTACGGACTGGAAAGTACCAAAAGTGGTAAATGTAGAAGTAACATATAAAGTTTGCTATTGGCTTTTCCTCTGCTTATGCATTGGTTATGTTGGATTTAACCCAAGAACATTGTAGAAACAGTAGATTCACACAAGGAAGATTTGTTTTCAGAAACACCTTGCTGTTTTAGCTATGAAAACAGGATCCTTACTGTAGGTCCTGAGACCACTAATTTGATAGCAACAGGATTAGAGTTATATTTCAGAGACTAAATGGTACAATGGTGCAAGTTATAAGAAATCAGTCATTCATCTTTTATGGGATGTTTTCACATTTTTGCTCTGTGCGTTTCTCATTCTTTAAAAGCTCAATGTATGTAATGACTGGCCCCAAGCCACAGTGTTTGTATCTTATTGTACAACTTTAGTATTGATAAACAGAGAAAGTGCAGAGGAAATTAAGTACTGAATTTGGACCCAATTTTCATTTGGATGTAACTTTACTGTCATTGGACATCAAAAAATATTCTTGCATTTCAAATAAGCCTATGGCTTGGGCTATCAAATGCTATTTATTCCAGTAAGACAGAACTATGCTTAGCATTTTTCCATGTGCCTCTCAACACTGACACTCAGACCATGACTTAAATACAAGCAATTACAGCCTGTGGACAACCCACACATTTGACCATACTGCAATCCATGGTTGTCATCTACAAGAATAAGGATCTCACATGAAAGGCCCTTTGGGAAATGTATCAGATCAGGTGTACCTTATCTGAATTTGAAGTGTGGCAGACAGGTCTTTACACACCCTTTACATATTTTGTATGTGTAATGAGCAAAATAACACTACATTTGGGTCCCTGTGATGAAGTGCAGCTCTCCCATGAAGTCCCAAGTGGACTGGATCCTCAGACCTATCTTCCTCTCTCTTAAAGCATACTATTTTCTGAGAATTCATATTTCTCTTCTGGAATACAATTTCTGAAATACTACTGAGCCTTCCCAAAACAATAAAAGCTTTCTACTGATCTTTTTCACTTCCAAGCCTGCAAGCCATTTCTCACAAGCCATCTGCCTCAATTTTGGCATGAGGACAACCTGGTTAGATGTGGGTTGACACCAGGCTTGTTGCTTAAAACAGTACTCTCTGAAAAAGTAACTGCTCAAAATAAGTTTCCTTGACCACCCACAATTCAAACAGCTTTCTTTTTCACATTTAAATTGCATCATTATTCTTCGTAATTAAAACACATCCAAAGAGTGATGTATGACCCCTTAACCCCTGGACAAGTTTTGCCATGCCACAGCTATGTAAACTTAGAGTAATTGAAATGAGAAAATGAACTGGATTATAAAAGGTGTATTTGACTGCTCTGTCTGGGTAGAAGCAAGGGATAGAAGATAAGAGATACACCTATGTCATTTAGCAGCCTCACCAAGTGTTTACTTAACTGGTCTTTGTAGGACAGGGGTCATTATTCCATAGACCCACACACATGCACACAAGTGGCTTTATTCACATCTTTTGTACTTTAAATTCAGTGGGATTAATATATCCAACTAACTTCAGTCCTATGAGAATGCTCAACATGTTTTTAGGGAGATTGCTCACATCCATATTATTTCAGTAAATGAAAAATTTCCAAGACATCAGGGATGAACAAAAAAGGTGATCACTTCCTGTTGTTTGAATACTCTTCTTTTAGTAAATATTCAAATTAAAATAGCTTAGAATCCCAATCACTCCTCTCCTTTAATTTTGATTCATCACTAATTAAAATATTTGCATTTGTTTCCATTCTGAGGTCCTTATTCTAGCAGAACAAAGGGCTCATGGATAGATGAGGAGTATTGAATGTTTTCTCCTTTTACAACTTACTATCTTTTTTAAATGAAGATTTCAAAGCATCCAAATCTTTTTTTCTTTCTTTTTTTTTTTTAAGAGACTATTCAATATTTTTTCCCAGTTTCTCAGCTACTCTTTTAAACAACACACAGCTCAAAAATAATGAGGAAAGGTGTGGAAAGGGACTATCTTGACCTCTACATTGTATTTTTCACAAACAAGAGATGTGTTGAATGAATTTCATCTCTATGGCTGCAGCAATTACATATGAACCCAGTAGCAGTGCACTCCGTTCCTGCTTATTTTAAGCTAAAGCAGCTAAAGAATATGATTAAAGCAACTGACTCCTCACAGTGATATCACCTGGTCCCATACCCAGAAGACACACTAAGAAGTGCCCTCATTACAACAAAGAATGTTTAGGATCCTGTGGCCAGCTTGCCCTTAGGAAGGGGCATAATACACCTGAGAAAGTGAAGAGAAAAGGGTAAGAAGAGGAAGCACCAAGAAATGACTTTCTGATATTTCTCTCACTCCTCCATATCCTCCTGCTTCATTTTCCCTCTGGAAAATGCTCTCCTCTCTCTAGCAACCATATGTAGAAACCAACATTTAATCTGAGCCAAGAAGGATCGAGGTGGAGATGGGAGAGTTGAGCCAAAGGGTGCTTGATCTGGGCATGCAGAAACTGCTGGCTGGCTAAGCCTGAACCCTTTCCAGCTCCCCTTCACAGAAAAAGTCACACTTCCATGCAAGGGTAAGCCTACAAGAAGCATGGCAGAGACTGCATCAGACCTACAGCTGGTGCTGTCTTTGGCTTTTAGGGTTTGTCACTGGAAAGTAGGTGAACATGGCCAGAAGAAGCTAACACCTAAAGGAGTAAGAAAGGAGTCTGGAAACAGTGAGAAGAGAAAAAAAAAAAAACCTCCTGTGGATGCCTGAATGACAGTTATGTCAGGGTAGCCTTGCCCACTTGCTGTCAGCCTAGCAGCAAGCATATTGGAAAAGCCCTGCTGGATTCAGGGACTTGTTCTGCAGGGAATTTGAGCTAGCAGGGACAGAGAAGAAGCAATGGGATGGACTGAAACAAGCTGAAACAGGCCAAGGCAAGCTCTGCTGGCATGAATGCAAAGATTGTGTTTGTGGGGGGAAACAGTAACTTCTTACCTTCAGAAGTCAAGGGTGAAGGAGCACATCAGAGGAGGGACACCTCAGAGGTTATACATAGGAGAAGGTGGTCAGTGATCCATCTCATGTTAATATATGAAAGTAGATGGTGAGTCCAAATCTAAATAAATAAATAATCAGAAGTGCTATACCAAGATGCCATCTGTGGCCCTTCCCCACTTCGTTGGGCTTTGGTGACATGAGCCATTACCCAAGGATTCACTTTTATACTCTTTATGCTAGTATTAAAAGACGACACCAGCACTGATGAGGCAGAAATAAAATGCTCATTTTGTCCAGAGTATGCTGAACTTAGTGGAACAACAAGCAAGAGTGTAGCCTGATGAAGAGTATTCAATTGCCTTCTGACATCTGCTGTGCCTGGCAGTGCATGGTGACTTTGCATGGCCCGAGCACCCTCTAGTGGCACCCACCGCCCCTCCATCCTGATTCTCACCACCAGCCCATTAAAACACCACCACAAAGCAGTTTGCCTTAGCTTCCTAACACATACCTAGTAAACACAAATGGAACGGTACGTAGAAGGAGAGCACTCCTTTAAGAGCATCTGGTCAAGGACCTTTTCCAAGGCAAGAAGAGATAATGAGAAAGGGAGGCAGTGATGGGAACCAAGTTTGGTCACTCACACTGATTTATAAGAGCAGGTAAGAACATAGGAATGTTTATTTCAGAAGGGTTGTCTTATGGAGGACTTCTAAGGTGGGAAACAATAACAAGAAACTGATCTCAGTCATACTAATTCCTGGGGCTAACAAGGCCCCCAGCCTGTGGTGCCAGCTACTGGAGCATGTGGGGTCCTTGCATCAGATGCTAGAGCAAGTGGGTGTCTTCTACTCCCTGCCACCCTGGTGGGAGCAGTGCTTATTTACAAAGCACCTGCTGGGAGGGACTGGTGCAAGTGAGAGCTTTGTACTGGCAGCTGGAGCAGGGCCACAGGTCACAGCCATTGAGCCTGGTGCCAGCTGCAGTGGAGGGGCTGGGGGGGCCGGGAGGGCGGGGAAGTAGAGGCAGTATCTGTGTCTGGTGTGCAAGGAGCATGTGTATTTGTTAGCAAACTAAGCTGGGGTAGCTTGGGACTTCGGTCCAGGCCAGGGTATCAGGAGAATGGGTCTCTAGAGGAATGGATCTCCTCTGTCTGCATCTATGTTTAGGTGAGACCTGTGTGTAAGTGCTGTTTGAGGCAGCCCTTGGCTGGAGCAGGCTTTGTGGCTGGTCGTATATATATGTGTCCTGTCTGGGTGTCTCTGGGACAGGTGATCAGCTTTGCTACCAGCTGAACCTGCAAACAGGAAAGCATCAGCCACATTCCCCAGCCTGGGCAGAGACCCTGCGTTCCCAGGCACCAGGCTGGGCCCCAGCAGCCAGACAGGAGTGGTCCTGCACTGAAGCAGCTGGAGGAGGTGTCTGTGCTTGCTCTTGTTGCTGTTTAACTAGCTTAACAAAGATTTTGGGAATAGTGCCAATAACAAATCATTAAAGAGATGTTACGATAATACTCTACAGCTATAGCAATTTCATACTGGCAAAGTTTTGCAATTGACTTCCATGGGCTAAGAATCAAAACCCTTTGGATACACACACAACACCTACCCATCACACCATCTTCCTGCTAATTAGCAGAGGCAATTACGTGCGGGCCCTTCATGCAAGGTAACCCTGGAGCAAGTGATGAAGCTATTATTTGGCATTAACCAAGAGGAAGGAAAGAAGGTCTGTACAAGAAGCTGTGAGTTCCAAGAGTGCAAACTCTGAGAATCTAAAGGAAAGAGTGAGGTCAGCTGGAGAAGAGAGTGTAGAGATTTAAGAGGAAGGGTATTTTTTTTTCACCGTTAAGTCAATAAATATCTGGAATTTCCATTTCAGATGCACACAAGAATTGTGAAGAAGTATTCCAGGCATAACTGTGTGGATATAGATCTCAAAAGGATGTTAACAATAAACACTAGGAATAACAATAACGCCACATCAGTGTTGAATTCTCAGATAATCCAAGTTAGAAATTGGGGGGGGAGGAAATACACAGGCAAAAATCCTAGGAACTTAAACCACAAAAGGAAAATTACCTCTTGCATTCCTTTCTGTACAGCTCAAGGCAGCAGCTTGCAGGTGATCAAGTCCTAGCCAGGAGTTTTACTGCTCATCTGGAAGGTGATAGACATGAATACAAATCTTCTTAGAGCAAGAAAGGCACCAGACCCAGCCTCCTTTCATTTTAGAGGCAGCAGCATTTCTTCTTTCTATGCAAACTCTTTAAAAGAAAAGAGCAAGCTCAGTAGAGTTCCTTGCTTTTAAATGGTAGATGTAGAGATTTGCAACTCAGGATCCTGAATGGATGCAGCTGGTTGCCTTCAGCAAACCCACTCTGGTGTGAACTGGGCTTCATATCCACACCAGTGCCCCAAGTTCCTTGCTCTGGGTGGCTTTTTGTTAAGTTTGTGTAATTTGTGATCACTTCTGCTGATTTTCCGCATGAGCTTTTCAAGCTTACATGCTAAACTGTGGGTGCTGCTGGGGAGATCAGGTAGATAAAAGCTAGGCAGAGAAGTTTGATGTCTGCTCCAGGTCTTCATCACCAGGTGATACTATTGACCTTTGGGGAAGAAGAAGAAAAAAAAAAAAAAAAAAAAAAGAAAAAAAAAAGAAACACCTCACAGCTGAACCCAGGAAAGACACAGACACCCCTCATGTGCCTTTCCCAGTCATTAGACTAACTTTATTTATACCAGTGAGGCACTTACTGAAAAAAGAGAAGTAACCACAAATGAATTGGCAGTCTCTGTCACTTACACCTTGATTCTGATCTTACTCCACGTTGGTGCAAATCAAGATGTCTTTCATTTTTTCTAGTATTGGTGCCAGTAATCATTAAATGGGATTACAGAATAATCTTTCTTCTCTAAGGCTACTAAGCACTGTACATGCAGGGGGATGGGTTGTCAAGACAGTTGAAAACATTTGGTTTTCTGTATTTTGGCCTCGCAGTGTAACACACAGAGATCCTCCAAAAGCATACAGCCTGCTCTAGCTCATTACCCGAACACTTGACAAATTCCATTGATTTGATGTTGAGTTGGGAAGAAAAGCTGTATATTTTGTAAGTCGTGTCAGGACAAGCAGAAAACATTCCTACATGCTTTATCAGTATAAAAGCATTTTCTGACTGATGGCCAATTACACAGCGTCCTGCACCCTTGGAAAGAATCACCCTTGGAAATACTGACCTTGAAATAATGTAACCCTACTGGGTGTCAGCAGAAGAGGTAAGAAAGTGAACAAGCTGAGGATGGCTAACAATATTCCGTTTTGAAATGAACACTGAGATTTTGATTTATTTTTCCCTTATACATTTACATATATTTGTCTATCTGTCTGTCTCAAGAAATCCTGCTTTAATGAAAACTCAGAAAAATGCATTAACCACTTTCCAATCCACGATGTAATTTTTGCCCCCCCCAAAAAAGGGTATTTTTCAATCCATACAGCATGGGCAGTTCTTTTTCTTTTTCTTTTTTTTTATCAACAGATTGTGAGCTGTCATTTTTGTATAATGAATCTGTATTAACTATTAAACTGATATTTAATTATTGAAATTACTGAAATCTCTAGACTCTCTGTTATCAATCCCCACATTGTCAGAACCACACAAACTAGCTTGTATTATTTAGCAATAGAAACTAAATGTAATTGCAATCCCTTTTGAACATGACAGTTCATGAAATACTTGGACTAAAATATCAGGAGCATGCAGAATTCAGCTATCATGGGAATGACAAACTGGAATTTCTCAGTGGAATTTGACCAATTTGACCACATCTGGTATTAGAATCAAAAATACTCGTTCTGATTAGGACCATTAAAAAGAGTTCAAATGTGCCATAGATTTATTACCAGGCTGAGATGCCAAAACACACAGCAGTAGGAGCATACACGTAGATAGTGAATGAGGTTGAGTGCAAAACTGCTTCTTACCTTATGAACTTCTGAAGTCATATTTTTATCTCATTTGCAGCAGTGTTAATCCAGAGTCAATCAAATTCAAATTTATGCCATTAGAAATGAGAGCAAAATTTGGCTCTTAAATTACAGCAGCTAAGCACAACAGATTTTGTTTCCCTTGGAGTGTTTTTAAGCTCCTGATATAGATACAGCTTTTATCTTTTTAATAATCCCTTCTTCCTGAATTCAATGGGGCAAGCATCAAACATATTCAGAAGCGCAGGGCTTCCTTCATTCCTCGTGATGGCTTTCATGTTTTATAAAGTAGTTTTTAAATCAGTGCTTAATGCATGCTAAAAGTGAGAGAAGAATCAGTAACAGGTCTGATTATGAATGGCTGTATTACCCTCTTTTGACATTTTGAGACAACATAAACAGCCAAAGATGAAAAAGAATGTGAAAGAAAGTCTGCAGAAGAGGGACTCCAAAACCACGCTGTACTTGATTATTTAATTTATGATCCAACTGATGTATGGATTACTGGATCAAAAAACTCTTGTTTTGTCATCCAGTGGATAAAGCTTACAACTTACAATACCACAAACCTTATCCACCCTTTAAGTTTTAGCTTTATAATGCACATGTATAAGTCCATGGACTGCTTGTTCAGGTTTATCCCAATTCATGCACTCATTCTTGCAAGCAAGGAGCCACACCTGCATCATTTGAAACCTACAACTGTGTGTTCGGGTTCAGTTAAAGATAAGTAAAGCTCAACGGATGCATTGGCCAGAGAAGGAACACTATGCCCCAAGTAAGAAAAATTCTATTCCCCAAACTCCAGTAAACCTTTGCCCAGCACAACACTGCCAAACAGGGAAGAGAGAATCAATCATTAAGTAATTGGCTAAACAGAAACCAGCTTTCTATAAACAAAGTCTTCTATTAATCACTACTTAGGAGCATGGTTGTGCTCCAAATTCAGTTACTGTTTGCTGCTTTGTGGCTATACTGACATACTTTTTTAATAATGCCATTACAAATGCATTTCATTTTGGAGTTCTGGGCTTGGTTAAGGCAAAAGAAAGTGAGATATTTTGAAAGCATGATAAAAAATAGAGTAAGAGGAAGGAGCAGAAGGATGGTGTTAAATTTGAAGCAGAGTTTGACTAAGGTGGCTGAACCATTGTCAGCTCTAATTTAACTGTAGTTAGAGCATAGCTTAGGATGTTGAAAAGTATATTAACAAGAACTATTCTGTGATGTTTTGGACAAAGCAAAGTTAGTTCACTGAACAGTGCACAGAAGACCACTTCAGTTTCCCAATACCATAATGGGAAAAAAAATATGCAGAAAGAAGCAGTTCTTCTCTTTTATATGGTAATTCCACGGGAAGTGAGAAGCACCTCAGAGCCAAGCAAAACTCATTCAATGCTGTATTGCCTGTTACCTCTAAACTATTCTTGCTAAGATATCTCCTCTCGGGATGAAGTATGCACTCATGAACAATGGGATATAAATTAGCATTGCATCAACATAAGTCTGTCTGCATAATAGAGTCTTAAGCCAAGAAAGCATAATTCATCATGACAGACATATGCAGCATCATACATTTCTAACCAAGTTCAGGTTGAAGAAATACTGGAGCATCTGTAGCTTGCTCTGCTCTTCAGGCAGAGAGCACAATCCATCGCAGTCTACATGCCCACTGTTATCTTCTGGAAACTAGAAAAGCATATGGTACAGCAGATGCTGCACTATCATTTCCCCCCTCAGACTCTGTTAAGGGCATTCAACTAATTGTAGTGCCATAATTAGCTGTGTTCTGTATCTCAAAAGCATTTTTTTCTACACATGAGTATTCCACTGGCACTGCTTCTCTGAGGAAATGTAAAAAGGCATGTTAAGGTTAGCAAATGGAGAAAGAGAGGAAAAGATAGTAAATTAGAAAAACTGGCCTAAATTGGATCTACAACTTCTTCTAGTTACGAGTTGCTCTGGAGCAAAGTGGGTCAGCAGGTCTGAGACCTACTGTAAAATGTCATATCTTGCAACAGTTCCTCTGAGCCAAATCTCACAGTCCTTGCTCCATCAACCCGACATTTGAGATCAAGGGGAGATTGGGTGGAATAAGGACTGCGGGATTTTCCTGTTTACATTTTTTGCCCACACAGCACAAACCTACAACCTCCAGCTGTTGCCCTCCTGGCTGTTATCACTCGTACAATTTCTGTGTGCAGAAGGGCTCACGCACACTTCTGCAAAGTGGCCTTGAGACAAGGATTCAGAAAAGCTCTCCAACATGTGTAAAGCTATTCCTGGTTATGCCAGTGTTTGGTCAGAGGAATAACATGAAGCAAATCCTTATAACATCTTTAATTCCCTGGAACTTCGGTGAAACTTCAACACATCATCAAAGCTAAGCTCCTTCTTAGGTACTGCCAAAACAAAGCTGGTTCTCTGAACTGTGCAATATATGTAGTGCCATTTGTTATGACCATGTTGCTGTATATGAATGGAGGTATATAACTATTTGTATGTGTAGTTACATATAGCATGTATAAGGTTATACATGCCTAAATTTTTGCATAATGACTAATTAATTTTGGATATATATTAACTGAAGGCTGGAGTCTCAGGGATGGGGATGCTTGGGGATTGGGGGGGAGGATTTGCTTCTTACTATAATGTGTACAAGATTCCCTGTTACAGCTTAGGTAAATTAGTGAGCTGAATGCAGATCAGTGAGCTGAATAGAATTAAGGATGTATAATTGTTGCAGATTATTAAATGGTTTTTGCAGGTGATGTCAAGATATATACTCTCTACACACATGAGCATAAGGATGCATAAAAAACAAGCTGATTTATAATTATGTAGCTAATTGTGATGCTCTCCCATTCTCTGACAAATTTGCTGGCAAGGGGAAAGGAAGGCTCAGAGATAAAATGAATTTTGATCTGGTCCGACACCTGCAGCACGTGTCTGAGGGCAGACTGAACACTGCCCCACAACCACCACCAGTTAGGAAACACCCTTCACCCAAAACAGCTAGATCCAAGCTAGTTCAATCCATACAAGCTGCCATCCCAACATGAACATTGGTGCTGCTGTGTCTCCCTAGGTGTGACACGTGCCCAGCAGTGCCACCACTCCTGGCAGGCACAGCACTCCGGTGCCACACACCGCTAGGCACCCTTGTTAACAATATTCCTAAATACATCTGATCATCAACAAAATTCTGCAAACCACCAAATGATGGAGATAATGCAGGTCCTGCAGATCCTGCAGCACCTGCCAAGCAAGGAGGGATGGTAGGTGTCAAGGAGTCACTCAGCAGTGCTGCTCCACTCACTCTTCCCAGCTTGGAGTAGAGGCAGCTTCATGGACAGATGCACTATTTGGCAGTATGGAATTTGGTTCCTACTATCACATCTGAGTACAGATGATTCAGGAAGAAGAACTGGATTGGCAGGTGGCATCTTGAGAAGGGACCTTTTCACTTGTCCTCTGGCTATGTCCTTCCCAAATTGATTTATTTGTACAATTCTCATTTAAATAACACAAGAACATACCCAGACTTTTCCTCACTGATTTCTCTTTCCATAGG